CTATAGTACATACCAGAGAGTATTCCTATAAAAGGGGGACCGTCTGTAGTACATACCAGAGAGTATTCCTGTAAAAGGGGGACCGTTTATAGTACATACCAGAGACTGTGTCCATAGAATCAAGGGGACTCCACACAGTAAATACCAGACAGTATTCATGTAATGGGGGACCACCTAGAGTACATACTGGATAGTGAGTTCACAGAGTGGAGGGTCCATTTATAGTACATACCAGAATGTATTAGAATATTGTTATCATTGGAGGAAGGGGATCATGTAGTGTATACAGGACAGTATTATATCCATAGGGAGGGGGGGGGGGTCCACCTATTTAGTACACACTGCAATGTATACATACCATAAGGGGCCCACCTATAGCATATACTGTAATTTATCATCTTCATAGCAGGGGGGTCCTCTTTTATTGCGTACTGTAAGGTATTATTTACAGGAAATAGGAGGTTCTCCTACAGTTCATACTTACATTTATTATCTTCATAAAATAGAAGGTCCATCTGTAGTGCAAACAGGAATTTACTGTCCGCCAGGCACTGGGGCTTCATCAATAGTTCATACTTACATATACTATCCGCTGTGGAAAAGAAAAATCTATAGTGCACACTGAAATATATTTTCTTCTGCCTATAGTGCATACTGACACATTCTGTCCTCAGGTAATAGGGGATCCAATTGCAGTGCATACTGGCATCTACTGGCTTTAGGGAATAGGGTTTCACTTATGCTTTCTGATATTTCTTGTACTGAAGGCATAGGGGATCCAGCTGTAGTGCATGTTGATACTAACTGTCTTCTGGGGTTGAAAAGTCTAACTGTAGTGCATATTGGTATTCATTGTTTATTGGCATATTTGGTCCACCTATGTTGCATGCCAGCATTTGTTATTTGCAAGGCCTAGGGGGAGTCCATGTGTTGTGCATATTGATATATACTCTCTTCAGAGAGTGTGTGGTGTACCTATAATGCATGCAGGCATATATTCCCCTGTGGAAATAGTGTGTCCATCTGTAGTTCGTATTGAAAAATACTTTCTGCAATTCCCCATGTTTTGGGAATAAGGAACCACCCTCACAATACTTTTTATATCTTCTAGTAGCAGAGGAACCACCTTCACAGTACTTTCTTGTTTGTCATCTAGTGGTAGAGGAATCGCCTCCACAATACTTTCTATTATGTCTTTTGTGACTGAGGAACTAGCTTCACAATACTTTCTATTACGTCTTTTGTGACTGAGGAACCAGCTTCACAATACTTTCTATTATGTCTTTTGTGACTGAGAAACCAGCTTCACAATACTTTTTATTATATCTGCTAGTGGTAGAGAAATCGCCTTCAAAATACTTTCTATTATATCTTCTAGATGTAGAAGAACCACATCCACAATACTTTCTTGTGTATCTTCTAGTGGTAGAGGAATCGCCTCCATAAGATGTTCTATTATATCTACTAGTGGTAGAGGAACCACCTCCTCAATAGTTTTTATTGTATCATCTGATGGTAGAGGAACCACCTCCTCAATAGTTTTTATTGTATCATCTGATGGTAGAGGGACTTCCTTTCAAATACTTTCTATTATATCTTCTGGTGGTAGAGAAACCACCTCACAATATTTCTCAGTATATCTTCTAGTGGTAGATGAGCCACCTTCACAATACGTAGTATTACATTTTCTAGTGGTAGAGGAACCACCTCCAAAATACTTTTTATTATATTATCCAATGGTAGAGGAACCACCTTCACAACACTTTCGAATATATCTTCTAGTGGTAGAGGAGCCACCTTCACAATACTTTAGAATATATCTTCTAGTGGTAGAGGAGCCACCTTCATAATACTTAGTAATATATTTTCTAGTGGTAGAGGAACCACCTCCGAAATACTTTCTATTATATGTTCTAGATGTCACGGAACCACCTCCACAATACTTTCTTGTATATCTTCCAGTGGTAGAGGAATCACCTCCATAATACATTCTATTATATCTACTAGTGGTAGAGGAACCACCTCCACAATACTTTTTATCGTATCATCTAGTGGTAGATGGACCGCCTTCAAAATACTTTCTATTATATCTTCTAGTGGTAGAGAAATTGCCTTCAAAATACTTTCTATTATATCTTCTAGATGTAGAAGAACCACATCCACAATACTTTCTTGTGTATCTTCTAGTGGTAGAGGAATCGCCTCCATAAGATGTTCTATTATATCTACTAGTAGAGGGACCGCCTTCAAAATACTTTCTAGTATATCTTCTAGTGGTAGAGAAACCACCTCACAATACTTTTCGGTATATCTTCTAGTGGTAGAAGAGCCACCTTCGCAATACTTAGTATTATATTTTCTAGTGGTAGAGGAACCATCTGCAAAATACTTTCTATTATATGATTCAGTGGTAGAGGAACCAACTTCACAGTACTTTCTATTATATCTTCTAGTGGTGTAGGAGACACCTTCATAATACTTGGTATTATATTTTCTAGGGATAAAGGAACCTCCTTCACAATACTTTCTATTATATTATCCAGTGGTAGAGGAACCACCTTCACAATACTTTCTGTTATATCTTCTAGTGGTAGAACAGCCACCTTCACAATACCTTCTGGTATACAGTATATTCTAGTAGTAGAGGAGCCACCTGTGATGCATCCTGGAGTATATTGTCTTCTAGGAGCAGAGGGTCCACTGATACAATATTTTCTCCACTGTACATAGTAAGATCATTTATGCTGTTTGCATTGGGATAGGTTTACTTTGTTGGCTTTGTGAGGACCACCCATACAGCATATCAAGTAGCACATTTCCATCTGGTGGTAGGAGCTTCAGCTATATGTAAATTATTTCTAAGTTGAGGAGGTCCTGCTATAAATATTTTGATATATAAGTAGTCTTTCTATTTAGCATATCCAGTTTGAAAATGTATTGGTATATAGTCTGCTGAGATAGGTTGTCCACCTCTGCTGTATGTCCTAGGCTAAACAGGGCTCTATATAGGAGAACTATGTATAATGAGATATTAAGTCTAGTGAAAGGGGTTTTAATGTGTGTTGGTATATAGTCTCTTAGTATATTACGGATGGTATATGCAGGAAATGTGGAGTTTCCTGCTGAGGTGTTTTATATAGCTTATAGTGGTATGTAGAATATGGGACCACCAATACAATGCATCTAGGATTACACAGTGTCATCATGTAGAGGGTCAACCTGGATTATGTATGCTGGAATGTATACCCTAGGGTGTTTAGGGCTCAATTATACAACCTAATGGTATGTGGAGTCTTGGTATAGAATATCCTCCCCTACACTGCATACTGTGATATATGAGAGAATGCTATAGATCCACCTGAATAATAAATGCTGAGATTTATAGATACAGGAGCACTAAGACACTTGCACTTGTAGTCCTTCATCCCAACACAGCATGGTTGACTATCTGGCTAGGTCACAGCGATGGTTTTAGAATGATATGTAGTGTATCTGGGACAATATAAATGCTAATGCATGGTCTTCTATAAAGATGTCTTGTAGGGCATGGTCGGTGTTTCATGAGATTGTCCTCGGGCTGTTGCACCTTTTGAAATGAATGAGAATGTCATGTTCAATCTGGGACATGAAGAGCCTGTGCCTAATACACAGCGTATGTGTGGAGTAATAATGGAGATGATGAATAGGTAGGTGTGAATGGTTCATAACATTAGGGTATATGAAGCTGAACACTGTCAATATAGCAGGGGAGGAGACATCTTCAGGCTTTTAATGTGTGTGGGGTCTACTGTGTGCACGTCTGTTAATGGGGAATTCATGTTTATGGGAGTTGCAAGTCAGGCCTGATGTATTAGGATCTTACTACATGATCATTAGACATTGTAAAGGCTTTAGTGTGGTCTTCAGTGATAGCAAGCTGCATCTTTGTAAGCACTGTTTGATTTTGTCTGAATCAACTGTGGGTATAGGGTCCTATATATGGCGGTTTGAATTTATTTATATATTCATTTTTTTTATTGGATGACCTAGATGGACTTATGTCTTTTTTTTTTTTTCAAACTAACTATGTAACAGTGTGTGTGTATATAAATATGTGTGTGTGTATATACAGTATCTCCGAGAAGTGAGTACACCGCTACCCCCCCTCACATTTTTGTAAATATTTTCATATCGTTTCATGTGATAACACTGAAGAAATGACACTTTGCTACAATGTGACGTAGTGAGTGTACAGCTTGTATAACATGTAAATTTGCTGTCCCCTCAAAATAACTCAACACACAGCCATTAATGTCTAAACCGCTGACAACAAAAGTGAGTACACCCCTAAGTGACAATGTCCAAATTGGGCCCAAAGTGTCAATATTTTGTGTGGCTACCATTATTTTCCAGCACTGCCTTACCCCTCTTGGGCATGGAGGTCACCAGAGCTTCACAGGTTGCCACTGGAGTCCTCTTCCACTCCTCCATGACAACATTACGGAGATGGTGGATGTTAGAGACCTTGCGCTCCTCCACCTTCCATTTGAGGATGCCCCACAGATACTCAATAGAGTTTATGTCTGGAGACATGCTTGGCCAGTCCATCACCTTTACCCTCAGATTCTTTAGCAAAACAGTGGTCGTCTTGGAGGTGTGTTTTGGGGTTGTTATGTTGGAATACTGCCCTGCGGCCCAGTCTCTGAAGGGAGGGGATCATGCTCTGCTTCAGTATGTCACAGTACATGTTGGCATTCATGGTTCCTTCAATGAACTGTAGCTCCCCAGTGCCGGCATCACTCATGCAGCCCCAGACCATGACACTCCCACCACCATGCTTGACTGTAGGCAAGACACACTTGTCTTTGTACTCCTCACCTGGTTGCCGCCACACACGCTTGACACCATTTGAACCAAATAAGTTTATCTTGGTCTCATCAGACCACATAACATGGTTCCAGTAATCCATGTCCTTACTCTGCTTGTCTTCAGAAAACTGTTTGCAGGATTTCTTGTCCATCATCTTTAGAAGAGGCTTCCTTCTGGGATGACAGCCATGCAGACCAATTTGATGCAGTGCGGCGTATGGTCTGAGCACTGACAGGCTGACCCCCCACCCCCCCACCCCTTCAACCTTTGTAGCAATGCTGGCAGCACTCATACGTCTATTTCCCAAAGACAATCTCTGGATATGACGCTGAGCACGTGCACTCAACGTCTTTAGTCGACCATGGCGAGGCCTGTTCTGAGTGGAACCTGTCCTGTTAAACCGCTGTATGGTCTTGGCCACCATGCTACAGCTCAGTTTCAGGGTCTTGGCAATCTTCTTATAGCCTAGGCCATCTTTATGTAGAGCAACAATTCTTTTTTTTCAGATTCTCAGAGAGTCCTTTGCCATGAGGTGCCATGTTGAACTTCCAGCGACCAGTATGAGAGAGTGAGAGCGATAACACCAAATGTAACACACCTGCTCCCCATTCACACCTGAGACTTTGTAACACTAACGAGTCACATGACACCAGGGAGGGAAAATGGGTAATTGAGCCCAATTTGGACATTTCCACTTCGGGGTGTACTCACTTTTGTTGCCAGCGGTTTAGACATTAATAGCTGTGTGTTGAGTTATTTTGAGGGGACAGCAAATTTACACTATTATAAAAGCTGTACACTGACTATGTCACATTGTAGCAAAGAGTCATTTCTTCAGTGTTGTCACATGAAGAGATAGAATAAAATATTTACAAAAATGTAAGGGGTGGACTCACATCTGTGAGATACTGTGTGTGTGTGTGTGTGTATATATATATACAGTGGGGATCGAAAGTTTGGGCACCCCAGCTAAAAATTTGTATTAATGGGCATAAAGAAGCCAAGGAAAGATGGAAAAATCTCCAAAAGGCATCAAATTACAGATTAGGCATTCTTATAATATGTCAACAAAAGTTAGATTTTATTTCCATCTTTTAAACTTTCAAAATAACAGAAAACAATAAAATGGCGTCTGCAAAAGTTTGGGCACCCTGCAGAGTTAATATCTTGTACTGCCCCCTTTGGCAAGTATCACAGCTTGTAAACGCTTTTTGTAGCCAGCCAAGAGTCTTTCAATTCCTGTTTGAGGTATCTTTGCCCATTCTTCCTTACAAAAGTCTTCCAGTTCTTTGAGATTTCTGGGCTGTCTGTCACGCACTGCTCTTTTAAGGTCTATCCATAGATTTTCAATTATGTTGAGGTCAGGAGATTGTGAAGGCCATGGCAAAACCTTCAGTTTACGCCTCTTGATGTAATCCCCCGTGGATTTTGAGGTGTGTTTAGGATCATTATCCATTTGTAGAAGCCATCCTCTCTTTAACTTCAGCTTTTTCACAGATGGCATCAAGTTACCATCCAAAATTTGCTGACATTTTATTGAATCCATTTTTCCTTCTACTCGTGAGATGTTCCCTGTGCCACTGGCTGCAACACAACCCCAAAGCATGATTGATCCAACCCCATGCTTAACAGTTGGACAGAGGTTCTTTTCATTAAATTCTGTGCCCCTTCTTCTCCAAACGTACCTTTGCTCATTCCGGCCAAAAAGTTCAATTTTAACCTCATCGGTCCACAGAACTTGTTTCCAAAATGCATCAGGCTTGTCTATATGTTCATTTGCAAAGTTCAAAGATGATTTTTGTGGTGAGGACGTAGAAGAGGTTTTCTTCTGATGACTCTTCCATGAAGACCATATTTGTACAAGTATCTCTTTATAGTGGAATAGTGTACCACAACTCCAGTGTCTGCCAGATCTTGCTGGAGGGGTCGTGCAGTCAAACGTGGGTTTTGAATTGTTTTTCTCACAATCCTGCGAGCTGTTCTGTCTGATATTTTTCTTGGTCTTCCAGATCTTGCTTTAACTTCCACTGTTCCTGATGACTGCCATTTCTTAATTACATTCCGAACAGAGGATATTGACATGTGAAAACGCTTTGCTATCTTCTTATAGCCTTCTCCAGCTTTGTGAGCGTCAACTATTTTCAGTTTCAATTTTCTAGACAACTGCTTAGAAGAACCCATGGTGCTGATTGTTGGGGCAAGGTCAGATGAGTCTGGGCATTTAAAACCTTTGAGATTGACATCACCTGGTCTTCCCAGACGATGATTGAGAACAATCCATGACACTGGCAGGTCTCAGCTTTGCAAAGGGGGCAGTGCATGCTATAAATTCTGCAGGGTGCCCAAACTTTTGCAGATGCCATTTTTTTGTTTTCTGTTATTTTGAAAGTTTAAATGATGGAAATAAAATCTAACTTTTGTTGACATATTATAAGAATGTCTAATCTGTAATTTGATGCCTTTTGGAGATTTTTCCATCTTTCCTTGGCTTCTTTATGCACATTAATACAAATTTTTTAGCTGGGGTGCCCAAACTTTCGATCCCCACTGTGTATATATATATATATATATATATATATATATATATATATATACACACACAGTGCCTTGAAAAAGTTTGTGTGTGTGAATTTTAGAACTTTTAGGACTCATTCACACTTGCTTTGGCCTTTGAAGAGCGATTTGTGTTCAGATTGCTCTTCAGAGAGCATTTGACAGGCAGTAAAGAAGTGTTTTATTGCAGCCACATTGCCTGTCTTAACACCTCGATCCACACAGTTGCTAGGTGCTTGCAGAATGGCCCCATGCGCTCTAATGGGTCACGCTCAGTGGGCGCTACACTCACCGAAAGTGACAGGGGGTATATTTCCTGCCACAGCCATGAAGCAAAGTACTGCTACCACGGCATGTGTACAACCCTGGCCACTGTGGCTAAAGCAGAAGCGTTTCAGGGGAAGGAAAAGATGCAGCTCACCCACTAGTGCAAACAAGCCCTTAAAGTGGTAGTAAAGTCTGTATGTAAACTTGTACCTACAGCTATACTTACAGTCAGGCTTACCTGTAGCTACAATGAATATCTGCTAAACAACAACTAAGCCTTACTGTATGTATTGAATAAATCTGATGTGGCAATCATCACTTTTGATTGGAGAGCCTGCATCTCCCTACACACCAAAAGGCCGATGGATTAAAATGTAACTTTTTTTTTTTTTTACATTTAATATAAAATAGTACGTTTGGCTATAACTGTATACACCTATATCCATAAGGCACCATTTAGGAGATATTCACATCGGCAATAGCCAGTGATGTCACCCGCGCATGCGCAGTGATGCTCTGCATTAAAGGCATACAGTATGCCATGTAATGCAGAGTGCTGTTCTGGAGCCACAGTTCCCACATGCATGTGCAGGAGTGGCGTCATCGTGGCGCCAGCCATTCAAGCAGCCGGAACCTGCGGAAAGAAGACCAGGTGAAGGAGAAGATGGAAGCGCTGGGGGAGCCATGACATTGCTGCGCTGGAGGGCTTTGTTTGCAGGTAAGTCTACCATATTATACTAGTATACGATGCATGGTAGTACATTGTGTCGAAAAACTTGCAGGGGACCCATTTATTTATTTATATTTTGGCAGTTTACTACCCGTTTATATAGTTCATTCATTAGGCTCCATTCCCACCTATGTGACTTGGGAACTTGTGCAACATTGTATGCCTTCCCTCAGAGAATGACGACACACGATGTCCTCGTAGGTGCACTGCTGTGCCATTCATTCCTAATAGCACTCCATATACACCAACCAACACGTGTGCTAAATTGCACAACAATACGCTTGGTAACTTATTGTTGTAGTGCGATGTGATTGAAAAAAGAAAAAAAAAAGAAAGATGCCTGCGCTTCTTTTGTGCAATTGTCGCAAATAGGACAGCCCATTGAAACAAATAGGCCCCCCTAAATGCGTTGCACCAAAGCCCCCACGCACTGTCACACCTGCATAGGTGTGAACGGAGCCGTCACATGATTCTTATGACGCACCAAGTGGGATAGGAATTTAGAGCATTGGTGAAATTAATATTTCATACAGGTCAGTTTTTATATTTTCCTGATTTTATTGAAGAATATCGAATGTTAAAGCAGCCAAGATCACATTATAGAAGAACTGGCACGAGAGCGAATACAGAATATTATTTTATGCTGCATGTTCTTGACCTGCGTTTTGTCCTGGTATTCAGTCCAAGAAACAGAACTGCATATCCTTCGTAGATGTCTTTTATCTTTCCAAATAATATAACGGGGTTATTTGTTAAATAAAGTCAATAGACGAGGAGGGGGGTCTTTTCCAGAATCTTTTGCCTTAAGGTTTGTGTCTCTTAGGAGAAAAGCTGTGTGGTTTTCCAGATTTAGGTCATTCTTTTATAACAAAGGCTCAAACCACATGTGAATATTCTGAGTGTATTACAGGCCAAACAACTGTTTTACTCCCCCCCCCCCCCTTCACAGACAAACAGACACATGAGCGCACGCAATCCACAATCCACCCCCAGCTTCATCATCCACTTAGAAATACATTGAAAACAACCGGAAAGCCGCGCTCCGTGAGATCTCACTGACATACAGAGATGGTGACATCCATTTCTCAACCCCCTAATGAGGTGATATTTTAAGAGGTGGTCAGAGAGTGAAACAGACAAGGAGAAAGGAAGGGAAATATCTGTTACTGAAAGAGGAGATGCAGTCCCCATGTATTCTATTAACAATGATTGTGTTATAATGAAATCAGCACTTAGTACTCCAAGATTGCATAGTTGATACTGTTAGATTTCTATGGATGTGAGAGTGAAGAGAATCAATCAGGTATGAGCAACCAGTCTTTCTTGGTGAAGAAGAAGAACTACAAGACCCAGCATGAGGATAGGGGCATGCTGGAACATGTAGTTCCTCCTTATTTTTTTTTAGGTGCCAGGGTAGCACAGGAAAGAATTTTAGATGATAGGCCATGGGACTTTCACTGCAATGACAACAGTTCAACTATCACTAGACAATCACAGTGTATGGGGCAAGTGATGTCCAATTTTAAGTAGTGGGCTTGACAAAGAAATGTTCCAGTTTGGTTTTGAATGTATCTGCAGGCAGGTCCTACTTCGTCCGGGAGCCCCCAGAGCAGATGTCTATGGTGCAGAATATGAACTGCCCATTGCTGTCCATGGTGCTGAACATGAGCAAAATCCACTATCCATAGATGTCCATGGTGGTGACATGAGCACAACAGCACCCATGGATGTCCATGGTGCTGAACAGGAGTACAACACCACCCATGGATTTCCATGGTGCTGAACAGGAGCACAATACCACCCATGGATGTCCATGGTGCTGAACAGGAGTACAACACCACCCATGGATGTCCATGGTGCTGAACAGGAGTACAACACCACCCATGGATGTCCCATGATGCTGAACAGGAGACAATACCACCCATGGATGCCATGGTGCTGAACAGGAGTACAACACCACCCATGGATGTCCATGGTGCTGAACATGAGCACAACAGCACCCATGGATGTCCATGGTGCTGAACAGGAGCACAACACCACCCATGGATGTTCATGGTGCTGAGCATGAGCAAATACACCATCCATAGATGTCCATGGTG